CAGGATGGGGAAGGGCGGGCGCAGGCCCGGCCCTCCCACCCCCGGCGTGGCGCCGCCGGCCATGCCGCCCAGCCTGAGCAGCGCGCCGGGGCTGAGCGCCGACAGGCGCGCCAGCACCTGCGCCTGCTGCGCGTGCAGCGCAGCCCACGCGGCGCCCGCGTCCGCGCCCGGCGGCGGCGCGCCGGGCGGCAGCGTCGCGGCGGCGGGCACCGGTCCCTGCGCAGCCCCCGCGGGCCTCGCGGCCATCGTCCCCGCCGCCTGCGCGCCTGCGGGCCGTGCGCCGGCCATGAGCAGCGCCTGCACCGCCGCGCTCTGCGCCGCGTGGAGCCGGGCCAGGGCGGCCGCCGGGTCGCGCAGGCGCGCGGCGTGCTCGGCGCGCGCCAGCCCCGCCAGCTGCTTCTTCAGGCGCTCGCGCTTCTTGGTCAGGTCCACCAGCATGCGCGCCTGCTCCAGGTTATAGCGCAGCAGGCCTAGGCCGCGCCGCTGCTCCTCGCGCGCCGCCAGCGCCGCCAGCGCCGCGCCGCGCCGCGCCTCCTCGGCCGCCGCGGCCGCCGCCGACTCCAGGCGCGCAGCCCAGGCGCGCTGGTCCTTCTCCTGCTCCCGGGCGCTGTGCACCGCGCAGTAGATGCGGTACTGGGGACGCCCCTGCCCATCCACGCGCGCCGCTGCGGGGGGGGCGGGGCGTTTTGGGCGCGGGGGGAGGATGTGTGGGGACGTGCTCTGGGGATGGACTGCGATGGCAGGCGGGGACGCCGGGGAATCGTGCGATGGAGGCGGGCCCCGCGGTACACCAGTCCCTCTCCAGGCTGTCGCCGGCAGCCCACCCCACGGCGCAGCGACTGCGCCCCTGCGCCCTCGGCACACCGCCCTCCTCTCACCGCCCCTCCACTCCTCCCACCCCAGCTCACTTCCCCCGCATCGCCCGCCTCCGCCCTGATACGAAGAATACCACCCTCACAGCCCCGCACCGAGGTACAGGCCCAGGTTGCGGGCGCAGAGCGGGTGGAAGGCGTAGGCGCAGCCCGAGGCGTTGCAGGTGACCACCGACCCGCTGGCCTGGCCGCAGATGGCGCAGGAGGCGCGGTCCAGCCGCACACCCTCCAGCCCCGCCACCACGCCCTCCTGCGTCAGGTATGTCTCCGGCGTCCACAGCGCGCAGACCGAGTGCACCCAGCGCCCCGCCCCGCCCGCCGCGCGGCGGAAGGCGCCGCAGCGCAGCGGGCACAGCGAGCAGACACCCTCCAGCCGCCACCACGCCCTCCTGCGTCAGGTATGTCTCCGGCGTCCACAGCGCGCAGACCGAGTGCACCCAGCGCCCCGCCCCGCGCCCCGCGCGGCGGAAGGCGCCGCAGCGCAGCGGGCACAGCGCGCAGGCCACGTCGCGC